CAGTGTCTCCCCCAAACCCTTCTGGTCCCCCCTAGTGAGTTTATAGACAGTCACCAGGTCCCCCCTCAGCCTTCTCTTGTGAAGGCTGAACAGGTTTAGGTCCCGCAGTCTTTCATTGTAGGGTCTGCCCTGTAGCCCCCAGATCATGCGGGTGGCCCTCCTCTGGACCCTTTCAATGTTGTCCACATCCCTCCTGAAATGGGGCACACAGAACTGGATGCAGTACTCCAGCTGTGGCCTGACCAGCATCGCATAGAGGGAGAGGATCACCTCCCTGGTTCTACTTGAGATGCACCTGTGGATGCACGATTTTGAAGGATGGGGCTGAGGTTTGGGGCACAGAAGATTTTGAAATGTGAAAATAAAGTCCGGTTAGAGGGCTTGGAGGGATTCAGATACTGGAAACATGGGCAGGAAAGAAGGTTATTTTTGCATCTCTGATGTTCATTCTTACAGCAAAACCAACCTAGATCAAAAACACCTGACCTGAAAAATAACTCATAATGTATTTCTTTGGCAGGTGAACAAGTTTGGTAAAGAAGGGGAACGCAATGGACATAGCATATCAGGACTTTAGTAAAGCACTTTCCCCCATAACATTTGTATTAGGGAGCAGCAAAAATATGGACTAGATAAAATTATCATTTGGATGGATACATACATAATAACTTCAAGCCATAATATTGTTATTGGTTCCTAAAGTATCTTATGAATCCAGGATTGTTTAACATATTTATTAATTACTTAGCTGAAGGACTATTTTACTAATCTAATCTTCAGATTATGGAAAACTGGGAAGGACTGTAATTATTGGAGGATTGGATTAAAGTACAACGGGATTTTATATATTACAAAACAGTGATATAGGCAACAAAGTAAAATTCTATACACTTTTAAAAAAATAAAATGTAAGGTGCTATACATATGGAAGAAAGCTGCACAAATATGTCATAGGGCATAACTGGCTTGGCAGTAACACTGCTAAGAAAGATGGTGGATCACAATGTCAACATGAGTCAGTAATGCGATGTTCTCACAGAAAACATGCAACTGCATTGTTGGATTGCTTTGCAATAGCATTGTACATAAGACACAAGAGGTAATAGTATCACTTTGTTCAGCTCTGGTCAGGCCTCAGTTATATATAGTATTGTGTTTGGTTTGGGGCATCACATTTTAAGAGGGAGGCATAGACTTCATAATGTAAGGCAGCGTTAAGCAACCTATTCCAGCTGTGGGCTGAAATGATCCACCCTGGTCAGAAGTGGCTGGGCGCTAGGATCTGGCTGCCAACACTGCTTGTTCCTGTGGCAGTAAAGGGAGTTTAGGAAGTCAGATCTAGTCCTCAGGTCCTAGATTAGCTGGGCTGCAAAGTGCCATTTCTATGAAGAGGTAATATACAATCTAAGTCTTTGGTCAAGCATCATGTAAGAAAAGCCAAGAAGAAACATGTTTCTACTGACTAATCAGACTAAGGAAGATCTAAAGCACACAGGCCTGGTGCATGAGGCTAAACAGAGCAGCCAGGGGAGTGTTCCAGTAAGGGAGCTCTACCAAGCTGCTGTGCAACCAGCCAAAATTACATTCTTTCCAATCACATTCTTTACATGCATTTGACATGCTGCTGAACCATCAGAAAATATTCGGCAGTGGTTGTCAACCTTTTTAGATTCAAGACACCCCTTGTTAGGCTCAAGAACCCACTCCATAACATTTATGAATTGAGCTGCACCATTTCAGAAATGAATTCATTACAGTGCTTACCTCTTTGCAGAGAGGCCAGGCAGTGGCAGTAGTGGAACAGCCAGGCAGGATGAGCCTGAGTCTGTCCTTATGTGCTTGGCTCCTAACATATCAGATATCTCCTCAGCTCCAGCAACCTGGTTGAGAATCTCTGATCTAGGGCTACAAATAGCTTCTTTTAAGTTAATGGTAGCTTTGCTATTAATTTAGGCCCTATTACTACAATTCATTCCATGCAGGTAAATCACTGTTTGCACATGAAATCCAATTAATGAGGCATTCGTACACACACCTGAACAACTTTTAGTATCACAGGCTTAAACAGGAGAAGCACTAGGACTGTAATATAAATCTTATTTCTTCTAGAAAGATGAACTGTGGCTTCTATTAGTGCATTATGTTTTATGTGTCTATTATTTAATAAGTTTCTTAAGATGCTGAGCCTCTTCTTGTAAATGTTCCTTAAGAAGGCCTTTGTCACATAGGCAGCAAAAATGGGTGCCTTGATTTTGTCATGTTTATTTAAAGCTTGTAATCCTATGAAAAGAATTATAATATAGAAAAATAACTGGGTCAGACAGGAGACATTTTAAGGGAAAAATAATCCAAAGGGTGAAAAGTGAGACTTTTGTATTTTGGAAGGCAAGCAGTCTTTTAAATCTTGAGATTAAGGAAAAGTACTACAGAATAAAACAAAAAGGGTATCTCAAGAGAGAAGAAAAGTATCTCTAGGCACATTTGTCAGGGAGATGGCTTGCCACACAGTGCAAATTATTATATGTATTACCCTCAGACTAAAAAACAACTGCAACACCACCACACAACACACACAGCCACCATGATGTACTAATTAGTTGTCAAAATACAAGAAACATTTGAAAGAGAAACTTAGAGTATACAGGAATTAGTGCCTGAAAATAAGTTTATACTGGGGGGGAGACGGGAAGGGGGAGGGAGAGAGGGAGGAGGTAATAGTTTCTTATATCCAGCATTGATCTGATTATGGTGAAATCTGTCATTAATAGCTCAAAAACTGGGACAATAGATGAGGAAGAGTGGGTGGAAATATGAGCAATTTAAATTTTTTTACTGGCATAGCAGCATTAAGAAATGTCACGCTATAGTGTGGAGAAAAGAAAGGAAAAGAAAAGAACAGAAATCGTTTTGAGTCATGGGCATATAATCAAAGACTAGATTGGGTGCAGGGCTAATACTAACCTAGCTGGAAAGAAAAAAGCCAAAGTCCATGCTTGCATTTTTATTTCCACAACTGGCCAACTGCTGTCAGTTTATCAAATGCCAAGCTGTATCAGATTCCAAAACTGCTTATAAATCAAATGTTTGTTTGAAAGAACTACCGTGAAAGGCACTAGAGGCCTGATTCTGTTTTCCTCAAAGCTAATGCTGATATTCTTATTGACCCCAGTTGTGAAAGATCTGCTTTGAAGTGATCTTTAAGTCAAAAAGAAGCTCATTTCACTCAGCTTGGGTTGCTTTTGTTTCCCACAATTTGGAAAACCACTAACATACTGGCAAGTGTAAATGTCTATTTTGTTCTGCACTATTTATAAAAGGCATTATGTTTTAGAGTTCCTAACAAATAGCATCTATTGGTGATACCATTCATTTCACTCTATGAATTCATGGAAGAGTAAACAAGTGCTAACTAGGTAGTAGCTTCCAGTATGTCGGCTCAGACCCAGAGACTACAACTGTGCTTTTGGGCTTTATTTTTATAAAAGGTTCTATCTGATGTTTTATTTTAGAGTCATCCATACCTTTCGTGATGCATTTATTTTCTTCTGTAGTCAAGATGGACTAAAAAATGCACATAGATAATGTCATCTACAAAAAGCAGATGCTGACAGGGTCAGAGACAGTTGACACATATTTTTGATTTATAAAAGACTTACAGTTTTATCAAGAATCAAGTCTTAACTGCTGGAGAAAGCTGTTGTCTTGGGAAATGAACCATTTCATGACTCAGAAATAGAGTTAATGAATTATAAGTCAATATATACCAGGTTATGGTAAGCATCTTATTTTCAGAGAGAGATTATCAAAAAGGCCATAAAACATATTTTAATTTGGCCATTTGAGCCTTACTGTGGGCACTTCATTTAAAGATGTTTAGATATTTTGGCTGAAGAATAACTTCCAACTTATCTCTTCCATCGGGATTTAACTCTATATCTGCTCTACTGAAATTAATTTGGCCACTTAAACACCTAATGCTAAACATATGCATCACTATTGGCAGGATCAGGACCCAATTTTATACTGTCCACTGCTAATCTACAGGGATACCTACTATTTTACTGAATATATAATTAAAACTGCCTGATTGTTACTGTTCAATCAGTTTCCCAGAATACTTTGCATATGACCCACCCCCAAGCTTTTGTAAGAGCATCCTTTTGTTACAGTTTGAGATTTCAAGAAATATATATATTAATAAAAACTCAGTTTTGATCAGTGAAGCTTCTGATTAATGAGGTATTCTAGCTGGATAATTTGAGTTTCAATTTTACCTGAGGTTGATCTATGACACTGGTTCCCAACCTCAGGGTGCAACCCAAATCAGGGTCATGGGGAGGTCCTCAGTAGGGTTGAGAAGGTCCACACACACATGCACATGCACACACTCATGCACGCAGCCAGGTAGTGGAGAGTGGCTGGGGCAGGGCCACCACTCACAAAGCGGGCAATGGTAGTTCTCCTGCCCCTGCCCCTGAGCTGCCACCACCACCGCTGCTGCACTCCACTCCCAGCAACCCTCACAGTGCCAGGTCGGGAGGTCCTGTTGGTGGCCAATTTAGGGTCACAGCAAAAAAAGGTTGGGAACCACTGATCTGTGGAAAGTTGCGGAAAAAAAAAACCAGTTCTAAGGGAGTTTATGACTGCTGCCAGCCTACTATAAAAAATATTCTACTAGTAGAGGTTCCTTAACAGATTATGGGAGGACCATATGCGAACTCCACTATTTCTCTTCCTTCTTTTCACATGGCACTATGCATAGGGCTGAATGGGAAGACACCTAATACAGAACTTTGGTCTGGTACAGCAACAGAAGCAGAAAGTTCCCATACAGCGGTTAGTTTCTCTGCTGCCAAGTCTTCCCCTTGTTATGTGTTGTGCCCTATATAATACTCTCTAGTTTAAATTAACTGAATTTTCCAAGGAAAAGCTGAGTTCCTTTCCTTTCTTCCAAAGTAGAAGAGGAGTAAGAATCAAATGAATCTTTACAGAAGGAAAATTGTACTAAATATTTATTATATACTTCTCACAACTGAAGGAATGTATGAAATGTAAATCAGAGCATAGTTCTACTTATAACGAATGTGCAACTCATAATTTTATTCTTGATTTCTTAAAGAATATGGCTGGTGAAGAATATGAGAAAGGGAAGGGAGGAACATACAAATAGCCAGTAGGGCCACAGACAGATTTTATTGTTTTAAACATGTCAGTTATTTAAATCAGAAGATTATGTTGGTACTTAATGTTATGACAGTACTACATGTGATTGCTGAATTTAGAAAAGGTAATTTTGCAAACCGAGAACAAATTTTGAGGGTGAGACGCAGTAAAGCAACTGAATTGATAGGCAAAATGAAAAATACTGTCTTACAGTCTGTATGCAGTGTAAATGCAACACTTGTGAAAAACTCATGTCACATATGTATGTTAAGGCACAGCAGAGTGAAAACTACAGTCATGCTAGGCCCTACTGAGGCCATGGAGCCTGCCAGCTTTCAAGGAGATAGGTGCAGGGGTTTCTGGGAAACTGCACTTTAGGCTGCTGACAAGCAAAACTTGTGACATGGGTCACACTGTGTGTGTTACAGCATGTCCTCACTGGCACTGGGGTCTCTACATGGCATGGTAGTGTGCCCCAGTGAGGTCTCCTCCTCCCCTACAGCCTCAGTTTAGTCCACCACTTTAAATGACAACCGGTTATAACATAGTAAGCAGTACAGTAGCACCAGCAGCATCTCAGGCAGCCAAACTGTCACAGACTAGAGCCTTTCTTTCCTTCCTTTCCTGCAGGAGCTTCTTATCCAGCAGCTGCCAGAGAACTCTCCTTGCCAGCTCCGGCCCTGGGGCTTACATGTGCCCTGGCCCCTGCAACCTTCTGGTCAGGTGCTAGGGGTGTTGGTCTAAGGACATGGCTCTGGCACACAAGGTCCTTTCCTTTGGGTCACTCTAATCTGGTATGTTTTTGCAGACCAACTGAATAGTTAGTTACAGAAATATATCTTAGCAAGCTTTTGGGTTGAAAAACCCTTTGTCAGGCTGAGGAACCATCTGTAGTTGGTCTCTGTGCGTGCTGTTGCTGGATGGAAGGAATAGTAAAACAGCCCGAGGCTGGCATGCAATGCAGGCAAGAAAGCCAGTCAATGAAAATGGAAATGGAGGTGTCAGGGGATGAGGCACAGGCTGGCGGGTGG